CGTGGACAACTTCGCCTACCAAAATCGATGACGAAGTATCTCCAAAGCCAACCGTGGATTCGGCCGGCTGCGGATCACCGTATGGAGTCGCCACGGTCTCCGCCTGAACTAAAGATCTGCAGCGCTGTCATCTCGCCGACACGTCTCTATGGGGTGGCGACTCGGACAGTCTACGAGAGGCAATCGCGGAAGCTAAACCACTTCCACCTCATTTTTCTCTGACAAATACTCTAGCTGGCATGACAGGACAGGATTCTGGTCAGAGTTTCGGAACGGACTGGAGTCCTCAGCATCCACGCCATGCCCAGGCAAATACAGCTACACTGGCGCGGCCATCTGGTGAGGGTGGACGACGAGCGCTTATCAAAACAACGCTTCTACGGAAATGTCGCCTTAGAGCTGTCTCACGAGCCAAATCAGCAGCTGCACAGTGGCGCGTACTATAGGCAGGATACATAACCGATAAAGTCAAAGGAGATTGGAGGGGGCATTTCTGGCTTATTAGCCGTCGTCAGCTGTGCGACTGCTGGCTGGGCTCGAAAGAGAGCCCTAAGGCACAACGGGACGAGTGACTTTCGCAGAAACGATCGGTGAGCGCCCCTCTACCATTGCATATTCCCGATCGCAACTGACGGAACAACGAGCCCGTGGCTCAGTGGTAGACTGTCAAAATTGGATGAACAAAGACCCGGGGTTTGCATTCCAAGTGATCCAAACTTGGCGTTGGGCATGCCTGGCTGATGATGGCTAATAAGCCAAAAATAGCCATTTCGAGCTCCCTCGTCTTTGTCGGTACCATGCCGTATACATACTCCGATGATGGAAACGAGGAAGTTTCCAAAACGTCAGTTCAAATACCATATGGTCCATGTATTCGCACTCTCTTCTCCTTAGTCTTCTTCGGGAGATGACGAACGCGATACAATGTCTAGACCTCGAATCTTTACGCATACATCTATAAATGAATTAACTCAGTAATGGGCGCACATCGATCCATTGGCTTGCGAAGAAAACTAGGTTTGTATGGACGATAGCTATCATATGAAGAAAAAGATGGGCTCATCGGAACAGGTTTATTTAGATACTGACATTTCGAAGGGCTTGGTCGACTCTCCATGGTCAAGGCGTAAAATGCACTTCATCGACCAGAAATCCCAGGTGGCATGTCACATTGGTCGGCCTCGTGCTGATCGATTTTTCTCTCCTCTCTTGCTGACTCGGCCTCTCGGGGGATGGTTTACGGGCGTTTTGTCTGTGTGCTTTGTGAGTCACCACCCCGTCGGGGGAAGTGATTGAACCTTTGTCGGGTGGTCGGTCTGGCGGTTCTTCCTCTTCTTCCTCATCGAGTAAACTCGCCTTCGGACTGTCTTTGTATGGCCTTCTTAAGTCTGGTGTGGTTGTTTGGTCCTGAGCTCCACGATTCTGATGACGTAGAACCTTGAAAGCTGTAGGGAGGTCCAAATGCCTGTTGATGGAATGGGAATCGGAGGACCACGCCTCGAGAGTTAGCCGTTCTGCATTTGTGTTGCCCCGGCCTAAGATGGCAGCTCGCTGGCGATCGAAAGTATGCTCAGTTTCTCCAACGTGCGTTGCAAGTTGAGATTTAGGGTCTAACCTCCGAGTAGCCGATTTCTGCTCTTGCAGGCGAGTCTGCAATTTCTGCCCTGTTTCTCCCACATAGTTGCAGTCGCCCACATCGCAGTTTATTTTGTAGATGACTGCTAGGGTTTCAGTGGGTGGCAATGGGTCCTTAGGTTGCATCAAACGGCGTCGAATCGTTGCCTGGTGTCGACGGGCTATGACTACTCTGGCGGGTTGTAACAGTCGAGAGACCGTTTCAGAGACCCCTTTAACGTAGGGAATGGCCCTCCAGACTTCGGGTTGCTGCTCATTTGGCTGCCGTCTGTGCGCCCGAGGTCTACTTCTCTCGATGAAATGTCTGGGATAACCATTCGTTGCAAATAGGTTCTGAAGGTACAACCAGCAACACGCGTTGGAGAAACTGAGCATACTTTTGACCTCCAGAGGGCGACCATCTTAGGCCGAGGCAATACGAAAACAGAACGGCTAACTCTCGAGGCGTGGTCCTCCGATGCCCACTCCATCAACAGGCATTTGGACCTCCCCACAGCTTGCAAGGTTCTACGTCATCAGAATCGTGGAGCTCAGGACCAAACAACCACACCAGACTTAAGAAGGCCATACAAAGACAGTCCGAAGGCGAGTTTACTCGATGAGGAAGAAGAGGAAGAACCGCCAGACCGACCACCCGACAAAGGTTCAATCACCTCCCCCGACGGGGTGGTGACTCACAAAGCACACAGACAAAACGCCCGTAAACCATCCCCCGAGAGGCCGAGTCAGCAAGAGAGGAGAGAAAAATCGATCAGCACGAGGCCGACCAATGTGACATGCCACCTGGGATTTCTGGTCGAGGAAGTGCATTTTACGCCTTGACAATGGAGAGTCGACCAAGCCCTTCGAAATGTCAGTATCTAAATAAACCTGTTCCGATGAGCCCATCTTTTTCTTCATATGATAGCTATCGTCCATACAAACCTAGTTTTCTTCGCAAGCCAATGGATCGGTGTGCGCCTGTTCCTGAGTGAATATATATGAATATATACCATGACTATCGGCTCCTAGCGTATTATTCTGCAGTCTTCTTCGGACAACCTGCCTACCGCTCCAACCCATTGGGATGGTCACAGTCAATCAATCACGGGCCATGTCTTATAGTCCTGTACTGCGACAGAAGAACCGAATTTCGCCCGCTGGAACATCAGCACTTGTCCATAAGCTCCGTTGGAACGACGAAAACAGCAGCCAGGTAGGAAAAATCGGTCGAAAATTGACTGCCTATCTATCCCAGAACCGGACTTTCAACCCGCAACACATGCTGCAGAGTCGCACCAAGTCCCTGAATACCGCAGAGGGGCAAACAAAAGATCGGAGAGACAATGGCCCACAGCGCAGCTGTGGCATCCAGGCCTGATTTGCAATGAGTCACGCCTACGCACACGATCTTTCACGCTTCACGCGCTCCGGACAGCCTGGCTTGCGTCCTTGTGATCATGCACCCCCCCCCCCCGACTCCACCCCTAAACCAAACAGTCACATGTCCAACACAGCTTGACATGGGCACGTGACATCTGCGTGAACAATGCCACGAACTGCGCTCTCGTGGGCGGAAGCTTTGCTCTGACACACAAGCAAACAGCCCACTCAAGGCAACCTGTCCCGTGTACAGGATAAGCGGACTCTCACAATTTTGACTTCTGACACGAAACGGGACAAACATACTGTCTGCTGGCCTAAAGACCAGTGTTCAGGAAGGCGACGAACACGACGCAAATACTGAACGTCAACAGCAACCACCCAATCAGACACAAAAGCAACTCCGTAAAAACGCTATATCGGCGTGTTGAAACGCACTGAAGTGAACCGGAAGAGAAGGCTGCCGAAGTTCAATATTTTCTACGGGGTTTCAGAGAAAATGGTTACCCGCGCAACTTTGTCAACCGGTGTATGCGCAAACGAGACGAGCGACAAAATCTTACCGACCCTAAATTCTGGCGGGCGATGATGGAACGGGGGGTTTCCGAAATGCCGGTTCAAATATAATTTGGTCCATGAATTCGCCCTCTATTCTTCTTTGTCTTCCTTGGGGGATGATCAACGCAATACAATAACCGGACCTCGGATCTTTGCCCATATATATATATATATATATAGGCAGAATGGTATGACCGACAAAGACAAGGGAGACTGGAATGGCCATTTCTGGCTTATTAGTCGTCGTCAACCAGCCATACCCAAGCCCGAAGTGTGGAACACCTGAGCGTCGAACTCGCGAACTGTTGGTTTAGAAGTCCACGCCTGTACACACCGGGCCACGAGCCAGTTGCCCTATCGGTTTTTGATCGGGAATATACAATGGTAGGGGGCGCTCACCGATCGTTCTTACGGAACTCTTTCGTTCCGTTGTGCCTTAAGGGCTCTTTCTCGAGCCCAACCAGCAGCCGCACTGCGGCGCATGATATATAGGCAGAATGGTATTACCGACAAAGACAAGGGAGACTGGAATGGCCATTTCTGGCTTATCAGCCGTCGTCAGCCAGTCATACCTAACCCCGATGTGTGAAATACCCGCGGCTCGAACTCGAGACCTGTTTGTTATAGGTACAACGCTTATAACCACTGGGCCACGGGCATGTTGTCTTGTCGATTGCGATCGGGAATATACAGTGGTAGAGTTGCGCTCGCCGACCGTCCTCACGGAACACACTCATCCCGTTGGGGTGGGGGGAGGCAAGAAGCCCTAACGGCTCTCCCTTCCCCACACCCCAAAGCTTACCATACCTCGGTGCCCACCCCTCTCACGCATCAGCTGTCAGTCTGTCATTGTCTGCCCTGTCACGCCAACCGACCTAGTCTGTCGATCTTATTTTCTCCTGTGTTCATTTCGCCTGAAGACGGGTTGGTGTCAACACCTTGAAAATCCAAGAGTACAACTCGATTTCCCGATGAGCCACCCTCAAAGCTTACTAAAGCCAAATCTCTTAACCAAGTACAGGGGTCCGCCCTCGGTTTGGCTGGCACTACCTCATGACCGTCGAAAGCGAACAGTGATCTCAGAGAACTGTTACACCTGCGAATCTCAACCCAACCAATTCCCACAATTACCTACTTGATCCGGCACCATTCCCTCGTTAAGCAAGGTCAAAATAAAAAATCACATTTACTGATCAAATACACTCATGGGTTAAATTTTACTTAAATTCGAAAAACAGGCCATTGTTGGGCACGAAAAGGCTTAACATCGGTATAAAAAGGATGCGAAGGTAACTAAACTGCCAATCTCAGTTCACAGTCAAATGATCCTCAGCAAGTCTACTGCACGATAGTTTAAGGTCACAGATCAACTGGGGATAGGATCGGGTGATGATCTGTTCGAGGAAAATAAAAATGAAAAAGACAACCACAGCAAGGGAGCGTGCTCACTTTGCGTCGGCAAGCTTCCGGACAAGCATTTGCAAACCCTCAAGTCTAGGACACTTTGCCTCAACGGACTCAGAAGTCTTCGTCTTCAAACGCTTCGTAAGATCCGCCAGAGCCGCCTGCAGATCATTAAATGGCACAATTGCATGTCCTCTCAACTCCACCTTGATGCTCCCCGGATAGAAATCAAAGCTGTGGAGGCCAGACAGAATGGCAACCATGGATGTCCTCCCGCGCACGATGTCGCACGAACACTGGCTCGCCAGTCCCAACGTCGTGTTCCATGAGGCCACCGTTTTTCCATAAGCGACAAAGTGCATTGTGCCTCTTATTGACTCCTTGTCTTCAACCAGAACGGACTGAGGCTTGAAAAGGTGGATTCTGCCGCCGTAGTAGCAGACTGACTCGTTGATAGCCTGCACCAAGCTCTCCCGTGTTTTATCGTCAGTAGTGCAGTTGGGACAGCTGGGCAGAGCAGGCGTAGTCAAAACCGGTGTTACATTCACGTCTGGCGTCTCCACAGTCGCGTTTGTCTCCTGCAGAAAATCAGGGTTCCAGTAGCGTTTGCAAGTGTTTAGCAGGAAAGAGACTTCCGTCTTCTGCTGGGGAGCATAGTAATCTTGCACACGGATCAGGGAGGGACTGAGAGGCTCAACAAACATCTTTTGACTTAGCGGCAGGCTGACGCATCGCGACAGCCGATCACGTCCACCGACGTTCTCTGATTCAGTCTCCGTGAATGCATCAAAGTAGGCAAACAGCGTCTGCTTCTGTGCGTCGTATTCCACGCGACTTAGACCGGGGTATTTCAAACCTGCCAAGTCTGATTCCTTCATTGTCCACCCACTGGGCAGTTCGAACGTCACCAGAATCATGCCTGTGGCGATGGAGTCTGCCGATTTGACAGCGCGTTTAGACAAACTCACACATACAGTCGTATTGGCGTGAGTGCACTCCGGAGTGAATTCTTGCCCCTGCCTCGTGCTGACACTGAGCACAAAGAAGGCGTCGGCACTCTCCTGACCGTCAGTAGGATCTGGTGTGTTATAGAGCAGAGAGAGATGCACCGCAACACAGGTGGCTTTCGCTGGTGATGATACCTCCCACCTGACCTCCTTCGACCCTGCCCGACTGTGATAGCCCAGCTCCACCTGCTGTGAGATGTGTGTATTCGTCCGGTTCACCACTATCTCCTTCGTCTTCGAATTCCCAGGCAGAACACTAGCCGTCACTACGGTGGAGGCCTCTCGTCCGGAGGAGGCCGATGCGACGGTGGAAAGATGCAGTTGGCCAGCTGCATGTGCCAGCGCCCTCAGAGCCACAACAGTGTCCTGCGTTGAGTAGAACCCACCCTGTTCATTCTGCTGTGCCGACAACCAACGGATGATCGGCAGCAGTTGAGAGATGGACTGAGACTCCGCGAGAGCCAGGTACGCGTAGCCCGTCGTCTCGACTTCGGAGGCGGGATAAGCCGTATTCTCATCATTCCACCATCGCAACGCTCCGCTTCGGGACGTCTTTACAGTGGCCCTGTTGACCAATTCCCTCAAAACAATCGCCCTCTTTTCTGTTAACTCACCGAGTCCGGGAAGGCGTCTGAGTGCATAGGCCACCTTGGCAAGGGCTCGTAGAGGAATTTCGGAGACATTATATGAATCTATCCTGTCCAAAAGACATCGACTCGCCAACTCCATAGTATTAGCGTACGTCTGAGATTTCGTTTCTCTCACAGTCACTGGAGCGTCAACCAGCGCTGAAAGAACATAGGAAGTTAGAAGAAGGTCCTTGAGGAGGCTTGCTTTCGGAGAACTGTCTGTGACATGCATATCTGAGTGAAACACTCGACCATACTCCGCAAAGCAGCCATCCCTACGTTGCACTGACCTGAGAAACTCGAAGGCCGTTGAGAGCGTGGGGTGTAAAGCCACGTTGGTAGTGCGCAATTTTTCCACAGCTTTCTCCTGCAGCAACTGCTCAGCCTCGCTGAATACGCCAAAAACAAAGGCCGTCAACCAGGTACTGCCCAGTCCGTGCGATTGACCGAAAGTTGAGAATGAACCATTATCATGGCGATAGTTGAGCTGATTGCTGTACCCACTGCCGATGTAGCCAATCGCTGTCTCTGCCAATTTCTTCGTTTCGGACTCATGCAAGTCTGTCGCCGCGACCAAATACTTCAGCACGTACACGCTTGGTGCCACCTTCACCATATTCTGTTCGCCACAGCCCGTTGGTAGGCGAACCAGGTTATCCAGATTCTTCACTGCCTTGCCGAGAACATTGCCACTCACGGAGACATAGCTGCGCAGTGAATCCTCCACTATGTTTTCAGGCAGATTTAGCTGCATTACCTCCTCCAACGACTTTTTGCCCTCGGAAAGGCACAACACCCCACCCACGTTCGTCTCTGCCTCTACACCCTCCGGCACAATGAGAACGGAACGTCTAACAGCATCGGCCACTGAGGTCATCGCTTGTTTGGCCGTAGACCCTTCGCTGCACATGGCCGATCCCAGCTTCGCCACAGCCTCTGCTGTCACATTCAATCGTCCCAGCTTCTGTGGTTTGAGAGCCAGAGTGAATGTGACCTTGGCATCACCCTGACACAGGCAAGTGACAAACTCCGAACTGCCGACCAACTGCCAGTCCTGGCGATCGACTGCCACCGACACGAGAACCTCGTAACAGGCCTTCTCGTCTGCAGCTCCACTCGTCGACGTGTGTGGCAACATGAACACGCTGACCGGCAGGTGTAAGACCTCCTGTCGTTTGGCCTTCACCGGGGGTGTGAATTCGACGTAGAAGGGGAGCGAGACCGTGAGCGTCTCAGGCTCCAGTCTGGCTGGCATCCAGAGTCCGAGGTTACGCGTGAAGCAGAGGGCCGTGAACTCCCACCTGGTGATGCTGTCTGGAGCAGTTAGCTGTGTTGCATATTGTCCGGCTTGGCCAAGTTTAATATGGTCAAACAGCCAAACTTCTGGGAAGAATTCACGAAGTCGGGGTTTTGAAATTGAATCAACCGAATCCGGATATGCGAGGTCCTTGATGCCATCGTCAACAGGTCCCCTGGCATTCACAGAAAACATTGGACAAATAATGCGCTTTTCAAGGGATTTTTTGAATGGGCCAGTATGTAGGAATTCCAATCCAATTGCATCGAACGCGGCCTTCGTACTGTCGACGGAATAGTCGCTGTAGTAGGGACGGCGGTTATTTTGAAGCTCGTCTGTATACTTGTTTAAGTCAATCAGGGTCTCTTGAAATTTCTCAAAGTTCTTCAACGAAGTATCAACAAGACGCACAATACACGAGTTTTCGACACCCGAAGTTTCCGAGCTTCTGCCGATCGGCACACTGAGTTGCAGACCAACCCCCTCTCCGGGCATGACTGAATGCTTCTTGAAGTTGTTTCTGGCGAACGACTTCGCCTGTGACTCGAACATGGCTGGCGTCGAACAAAGTTTCAGATTCTCGATTTTCAGAAGATCGGTGATTAATTCGTAACCTCCCTGCGAACTGGCATTCACGTTGTTGACATAAACGACCGCGCTGAGTGATGGTCCAAAGCTGGAATCCATTTCAAAGCTCGCCTCATGCATAAATATCGTCCTGCGAACATCACTTTCCTTTGTGCTGGGAGGTGTCACATGCGAACTAGGTCCTTCAGTAGTAGTAGTGGGAGGGGCGTCCGTTCTGTCCAGTCTCTCATAGTCTACTACTGCCCCATCGCAAAGGTAGCCAGCATAGCCGGCTTCGCATACACAGTCGCCACCCTGCACACATCTCCCATGAACGCAGCCCCGACGCGGTACACAGGTCTCACATCTCTCGCCTGTCCAACCGACCTTGCAGGCACACCGTCCCGGCGCAACACATAGGCCACCCCTACCACACTGTCCTTCTGAGCAATGCGGCGTCAGACAGTTCTCTCCAGTCCAACCCGGCAGACAACTGATCTCACCCACCTCTCCCGGCCGAAAGCCGACATTGCAGGTGTAGTGTCCCAGATCACTATCCTCGTCAGAGCACACATAGCCCGAAACCGCAGGTTGCAGGACTGCAAACCGCTGTGTTGGCACACCTCGCGAGAGATACTCGAGGAAAAGCGTCTTCCCGGCTAGCGGTGCATTGACCACGATAGAAAGGTTGAGCCATCCAGGGCAGTCCACCGGCGAGTTCCCGTTTATACTCCTTACCTTGAGGGCCAGGCTGCTCAAGGATTTCCAGCGTCTCAAAGATCTAGAAGTGTGGAAATTTGCGTCCCCCATGGGTGGCTCCCAATACGGACGGATCATGCGTTGAAGGAAAGGCGAGGGGGTGGTCGTTGTGGGCGTGACCATCGTTTCATCACGTATCAAGTCCACCTTCACCTCCAGATCTCTTTCACTCTTTACTGGTGGCAGAATAAAAGATGCAACACCATCGGCATTTAGCGTCAATTCTTTGAAATATATGTTCGGATTCAAATCGTTCCCGCCTCGAAACCAGGGGCCACATGGATTGAGTATTTCAAACACTGTTAAGTTGGCCTTCATCGAAGGACTACTTGTAACAGTACTCATCTCAGTCAGACGTACCTTGCCATGAATGGGCAAACCTGGACGATATGCGCGGTCTATTTCTAGACTGAGCTTGGGGGCACGAAAACGACGAATGTTCGCCTGACCGAACTGGGTCACAGCCGAACCCGTATCCGCTTCGCTGACTGAGACGATGAAACCGACCTGTTGGTCCCAATCATACCTCCCACGGGCGCGTTGCATCAGAGCTTTTATGGTTGCATTCACACCTACACACCCTCCATTCTCAGGTGTGCCAGAAAGCCTGCCGGCAACACGAAGACACTGACCTCCAGCTCCCCTCAAATCTGGTCCAGACAAACACACATTGTTCTCAAACGGAGTACCTAGGTCCTGCTGCTGTCTCAATTTCCTTCCAGAACAGACGCAGATCTGGGCATCGTAGTGTCCCTGAAAGGAATTTCCGTTGGTGTAAGTTGCACAGACGTTGAACTGTGCCGTCTCAGAGCTGATGTCCACCTCCTCGGGAATCTGGATGGACGCCAGGAAACGCGGCAGAACGTAATTCTTCACGTCCACCTCCAACGTTTGTGTGCTGGTGAAAACCTTCGCCACAATTCGCCAAACACCTTCGGATGCATCGCGCAGCAGAGGGAAGGACAGATTCAGTGCTGTCGTCTGTTGCACATTCCTCCACTCCTTCACTCGATTCCCACTCGGATCTTCTACATAGATCACATCAAATTCCGGAGACCTTTCATGTCTACGTCTCTCGTCCTCCGAGATTTCCACCAGCTTTGGGTGCATGTAGTCCTGCCTGTCAACTCGAAACTTGGGCCACTTGAGCTTCTTAGTACTTGGCAGGAGTTGGCGTGAATTGAGGGCAATGAATCGAAAGCGAATATTCTCACCAGGCCTGTAAATCGGCTTGTCCGATTCACCCAGAATAACGACAAATTTTCGAACAAATGAGGCATATATCAACTGACTTTTCTTTTTCGGTTCTCGGCACGCTTTCGGGCGATACCTACGTTGATCCTTTCCCTCACCAGCGCCCGCCTCTTGATCATCATCGTCGCCATCAGCATCCCCATCCCCGTCACTCCTCTCAGCGTCCTCTTCCTCCTCTTCCACATCATCAGTGTCATCACTGCCATACTCTTCGCTGTAGCTTTGTCCTTCTTTCTCAGGAGGGCAGTACTCGTAGGTAACATTGAGGTTGATCGCGCCTCCCTCATCGGTTACAAACGGCGGACGGAAGTCAACTTCAGCTACGTATAGACCGTCAGCACTCCTTTTCGAAGTTAGTCGATAGGATAAGTTCATGGGGGGAAGATGGAGACCATAGACGAATGAGCCGACACTCAGCCTAGACAAAGGATGCGCTGACCGAAGTTGGATCCGATTAGGCACATCAGGCAGGAGAGTCCGTGGGATGGTGAGACTAACGGCGTTATCGGGATCATAGTTTGCGTCGACATAGCTATCCTGATAGATTGCTCCATTGGCCGACAAACTCAGTGCAGACAAGATGCACAGCACAGCCCAACCAAATGGAGAAGCACACCTAGCCATGCTTCAATAGCGTTTGATCGACAGTTTACGCCTTAAATGGTCCCCCGTCAGTCCAACCTTGACTGGATGCTAGCATCCTCACCCGATTGGTCTACCCAGTCCAATCGCCGCCTCGTGCCAATACCTTCTGACTGATTGGTTAAGCCTGTCGTTGTGAGGTTGGCCCAATCGGAATCAGTCTGACGAGCCTTTGACTTCTCTGATTCGCATTTGGTCTGTGCGTGAGGGCGGACTTGTGCAGTGCGCAGCACCTGGGGGCGGACAAAAGGGCGTCCTAATCCAGTACTACAGTCCATAGTTAGGACGCTGTTTCACCACATCCCCGACATGTTGTCATGTGAAGTGGTATTCTTGCATAATTTCCGATCTCGCGGGTGGGGTTAATGTAATTGGGTCGGGTTTGAATGTGAAGGTCAGCGAAGGGACGATGATGTTAGTAGTGTGGAGGGAGTTTGTAATTCATGAAATCACTTCACCTCACACCGATGTTCATTTATACATCATCCCTCGTGCTCGTATACATGAACTTTCTAAAATAATCCACTCGCTTTTTATCGGCCACTGTAATTAATGCATTTCTTTTGCCGCCCAGCCGAACAGCTTTTTAGTTCCGTTTCGATATTACTGAAAATTGCCCCGTACCCCAAATTTAATCGGGTGCCAGCAAAATTATAACTTACCTATTGCGTTGCTTTGAGGTTGATGAAAAGTGTAACTGCTGCGTTCGTTGGTTACAGTGTTTATATCGTGACTGGACACTGCAGTTAAGTGGTAGGGGACGCTCACCGATCGTTTTCAGGGAACTCACTCTTTCCGTTGTGCCTTACGGGCTCTCTCTCGAGCCCAACCAGCAGCCACACAGCGGCACATGATATAGGCAGATTAGCATTGCCGACAAAGACAGGGGAGACTAGAATGGCCATTTCTGGCTTCGTGGCCGTCGTCAGCCAGTCGTACCCATACTGCAGTTAAGTACACATTTGCCTGATTTTCGTTGTTAGAGGGAAAGGTTCGGATATACTGCAACTGTGATATTTCCTGCTCGATATGGCTACTCCACTGAGCTGAAGACTGCTTTTTTTTATAGATCATTCGACTAGAAATTAAGACTTGTAGCAGCGATAGGGTCTGGTGTTAGTTGTTGAAAGTCTCCCCTCTTTTTGATCCGAAGTTGTTTTTTTAGTATTTGCAAATGGCTCTGATCTTCCAAGTACCCTCACACATACGGAAATAAACAGAGGACTGTAAATAATCCTCTTAGCAAAAACAGGTCCGTTTTAGGGGCAAACATAGGCATTTCGACCGTCGTTGCCGGTGATGTCCGCCGGGTGCTCTACAGCAAGGTGAGAGCAAGGACGGTGACTTGCGCGTGATTTAGTTTATGGGGAATGTAGACTTGCGCAGTATCTACCACACTCTCTCCTCCTCCCCAGCTGGACCCAGTATCAAGGCATAGTCAAGAAGACCGGAGGTGAGGAAGGACACAGGTGGCTGGCACGATCGGACCGGCAACAAGGCGTACCACCCTGCTCCCTGGCCCACAGCGCACACTTGCCCAGGATTTTAACCAGCAACAACAACGGCACTGCAATGGGTCAGAAGGACGATAAGGATGACTAGGCAGCCATACACACGACCTGTATACCCAGCGGGATCGCAAGCGCATCTACCGCCGGGGAATCAGGGGGCCAGAGAACACCCAGCGCCCACTAGCCTGAGAGGATCGTTGTTCGCTGAGCATAGCATAGCAGATGTCCACATACCTTAGAGCCTACCCCAACACTACAGGAGCACCCTGATTGGCGTTATTTAATGGGGAATTCTCTGAATTGTTAGCTATTGAGTTTATCCAGAAAGTTCGTCGCAGTCGTCACTGCTAATGCAACGATTATGATGAGGTTTGTTGAATCCTCCCTCTGACTTGTTGGATATACAGTGCGTGGCCGATCTCATGAAATGCTGGCCGAGATTCTGAAATGCGTTTTCGACTAGGGAGGATTACTTAGTTGAGATAGTAGTATTAATTACCGTGCAGAATAATTCTATATTACTTCATACTCGTTAGAATGTCGGCTTTTCAATGTATCTCATTTGACCTTCTGAGGGAACCACACTTGTTAAAATGGGCTACATAAGTAGCATGTATTTTTCACACTGATTTTCGATGGCCGTATAAGTCCAAGTATACTTCATAGAATACACGCACAAAAATATGCTTTCATTTATTCGTTGGGTAGAAAATCACATTGCCTTTTCATTTTATATCCTAAGAAATGTTATCTTTCGGTTTTTAAAAAGTTTCTAATTGTTAGATATTTAAGACCGTACGGTGTCCATACATACAGCATCGAACGTATCCGTTTAGCAACGCTCCTCATGAAATGTAAACACGGTCCGCATCCACTGCAAAATATTATTAAATCTAGACGGTATCTTCTTAAAGACATGGAGGAATATGTGATTTTCCTTACGCAGAAAGTATACACCTTGTTGACTGGAATAGCTAAACGCTAATGCAACGAATGATCAGGCTCCAAATTATTCTTGAATTAGAAGACTTTTCTAAAATCTAATTATACGCCTTCTTCGAGTATAAAATTTAAAGTTGGCGTTATTCTCTATCAAACGGCTGAAAGAAAGCATGTTTTGGTTCGTGGTTTCCATCAAATATGTTTGAATTTGCAAGACCGTCGAAAATTAAAGGAAAAAATGCATGCTACTTAGGTGGTAATTTTTAACGACTGTGATTTCTGTATGCGGTCGAAAATAAGTACATTCAAATACCGATATCCTGGCGAGTCCGAAATAATAAAGGGTTTTTCTGCACGACAATCAGTCTTGTAACCTCACTTAAGTAATCCTTCCTAATCGAAAACACATTTCAGAATTTCGGCCAACGTTTCATGAGATCGGTCACGCACCGTACTTAAAATAAAAGGGATACCATTGGCTCGTCGGTAGCCCTGATCCGATCAATGCTGACCACGTCCCCCTCGTCGCCATGATGAGTCCGCCAGGTCTTGATAGTGAGTGGGAGTACTCGGAATGGTTCTTCGTGTCGTGATTCCAGCGGTTTGCGCACACGGTCAGGCCGAATAAACATATGAGTGCGGTCGGCCAGGTCGTTATAGACTCGGTCGGCGGAGTTCGAGTCAGGGCCGGGAAAACAATACATCAATTTTCGCTGACAGTGCTCAAAATTATCAGGACTGACGTCGACACCACGAGTGGTTGAAGTGACCAACTCGTCTGGAGGGTAGTGCCGAACGTCGATTTGGCTCCGCTGCAGTCCAAATCCGACTTCAGTGTCGCGCGAATGAGGAGGAATGTAAAGGCCAGACCGTCAGAGCAGTTCATGGAGTCCTCTGCAGCATAGAGAGCGGCCAGTGGAAACGATCGACCATGTCGCTTGTTGGTGGGGGGTAAGCTGCCGTCCGAAAGCGTTCACAGCCGCGAAGGGTGCTGAGGGCTTGGAGGAGGGTAAACCCGAACTGGACATCTTGACCAGTTGCGACCGTTGACAGGACATCGAGAACGAAGAACCAGCGACGGACGAAAGCCTTGATAATTGTGAGCGCCTTCACATTCGACAGGGGAATGAGTTCAGCACGGCGTGTGTACCGACTGAAGCAGGTAAGAAGGCGAGTGTAGCCATTAGATGGTCTACAGTATCCAGATGAACATGGATGAGCCGTGCGTCAGGTCTGAGGATTGATACGATCCTGACAGGAAATTCCTGTTCTTCACTGACTACAATCAACAAGTTACGAACCGTTTTTTTTCTACTTTTTGGATGTCTGAAATGGTCGTTTCAGACAATGGCCCGGCCTTTACTAGTGCAGACTTTAAAGAATCCGTGGAGAAAAATGGAATAAGGCATTTAACTATTGCCCCGTGCCAAGCTGCTTCTAACGGCCTCGCAGAGCGTGCAGTCCAGACAATAAAGCACGGACTAGCCAAACAGCCGGAAGCGGACTTGGCCACCAAGTTGTCATGCTTTCTATTCAGCTATTGCGCAATACCAAACGACTCAACCGGTGCTTCGCCTGCAGAACTGATGTTCAAGCGGCAGTTGCGCACACGACTCGACCTGCTTTATTCATCAACGCATGATAGAGTCATTGAAAAACAGACGAACATGAAAGTGCGATATGGTGTGAACACCCGACCACAAGTCGCCGCACCTAACTAAAGTGTCTACACGCGACTAGAACACGAAACGAACTGGTGTCCCGCGGTAGTTCGGACAATCGAGGGTCAAATAGCAGAATTAGAGTTAGAAGATGGGAGAATTGTGTGTTGACACCTGGACCAAGTTTACAGCCCAACTGACACAGTAAGTAGAGTATTCTGGAAGCTTGAACTGTCAGCAACCCTTGACAGGGATCCTAGCATCCCGAGGACTGAACACCTACTGCCTGCACAGAGCACTACGTCACCGACCGAGGCGTATGTTCCTCCTCCTCCTCCTCCTCCTCCTCCTCCTCCTCCTCCTTCCACCTCGCCCAGCACTAACTTAGGAAGAGAGGAATCAGTGACTCTAAAAAGCGGCGCAGGGGTCGAAAATACCACCCTGAGAAGATCGACCCAAATCTGCAAACCTATCCAACGCTTTCAGGACGAATTCCACTAGAATCTTGTTTAACTATCCACTATTGCCTTCACTCTTTCCTCCCTCCTCCCCATGCTCTCCACTTTAGGGTGAGAGGATGCCGCGTATGCTGCCATGGCTGTCAGAACATCATGCCACAAACGCGTGACAAGAGAACGTTCAAGGTCATGTACCCCGGCCCACACCTTCTTTGTGTTAAGTGGCCACCCATCAGCCTATGACATTCCCCCCTGCCATTTCCATAAGCCTCCTCACTTGTGCTGTCTCTCGTACTCAGTATACGTCCCATTTCTAACTAACATTCTCTTTTGCATAAATAACAGGGATCAACGAACCATGACTCAAGCAGCTCGCGGCTCACGCAGTTGGTACCGATAGCAAAATCTCG